ACAATACTCTTTATTTTTCAGTTGTTATTTTAGTGATGAAAAAGATAGAATTTAAAAGAAAATTGACAGTTTTTGATTGAAACCTGAGAAATTAGTACTTCAAAAGTCCTCAAGCCTCCTTCTTACTCACTCTCTACAAAAGGCGGAAACATTCGCAGTATTCCAGTTGGCAGCGAATAATAGGAATAACTGGCCGGGCTACCGATGACCCTCTCTTTTGAGGTTAGTTGAAAGAAGCAGAAAATGGGTTTGACTGGCTGACATACGGAATAGCAGTTTACCGTCGAAACGAATGAATGAATCACGTAGGGATTGCGTGTCCCACTGACGGAGTGGAATCCATGATTTTTTCACCACTGACTGAATTTTGAGGGGAACAAAATTTCCATCCAGCACCGCAACCAAGTGGTTTTGTTTGGAGTATGAAAGCACCTAGTTTTTGAAAAGTTGACAAATTTTTTTGACCACTTGTTTTTTAATAGTAAAAGACTTTGTTCACTGGTTTTTAAATACCAGTGACTTCGTTTTCGGAGGGATCTTTGAATTAGTAAGCTCTACAGAAGACAAAACGACTTTCAGGATCGCCAACGGCTTGACCATCAGGCGGTGTAGTATTGGACAAAACAACTGGCAAAGTTGACCACTTAAATAGTTTCAGAATCACATAATAAAATCAGCTAATGAAAGTGCCAAAGTATGATGTTGTAGATGAAATTTGGTTCTGTCAGAATTCAAGTCAGTTTTTTTGCGTGATTTTCTTCTAAACAAAAATTTCTTTGTTTTTTTTTTTTTTTTTGCGTCATATGCTAAAAGAAAGCGATTCTCGAACAAGGTAGTTATTGTTTGAACGCATCGTTTTGTTCATCTTCAAACGCTTTTTTTGTTTTTCCACAAAACTGCTCGAACTTTTCAGGATGAAAGCGTCGAAGCTGCGAACAGCATACGACAGTGAGGTACCAGCACCGTGTGCCAACAGCAACGGATGTGAGAAGCGCGATGGTTATCACGATTACAGTTTACCTCGAGCAGCCAGCCGAGCTACCAGTGCACAGTACGACAAACCACGGACAGATAATTTCAGGATGGACACCGAAGGCACATCGCAGGGCACGGCCATCAAGAATAGCAACGAGACAGGAAATTCAAGAAATCGCTCAACAATCCGCAATTATGATGTGCCCAAAGATACACTGAATGACGAGGTGCTGAAAAGGTACCATTTCTTGAAAGCTTCTGTTAATTTCTTCTAAATTCCTGCATCTAAAAAAAGAATTTCTTGGAAAGTGTTTGGCACCGTCTGCTGTTTTCTCGCCTTCCAAAAGAGCATT